TCCCCCGCCGCCTCCGGAGGCCGCCTCCCCGGAGCCGCCGGTCCCGGCTTCGCACCTTCACCCTTATGCTCCTTTCCCCGGCAGAATTTCCTAAAACACCCAAAGATGCCTCAGGCGCTCCCTCCACGTTATAAAATGTCCTCTCCCTCCCTCTCCTGGGAGCTGGAAGCCCATCACGTTGCTGGAGGAAGGAGGTACCCTGGTATTCTTCCCCTCCTCCCTTGGCTTTCTGTTACCGCAAACTCTTTCGGCGAAGCATGGTCTTTTACTCATCACCTGCACAGAGCCCAGCGCTACAGGTTTCTGCTCCATGCTCGATGCCCGAGGTACCTGTAATGCAAGCACTGGTGAAAAAACACCCTGGTGTGCTCCACAGCTTCCTGTGGTGATGGAGAAGCTGGGAAGAAATGCATTACTATCTCCTGGAGAGAAAGGTCGGAGTGGTACAAGTGAAGCACCCTGAGCCGTCACCTCTGGCTCCCGTCACGTTGGTGAACCAGAGATTGTGTGGTTTTGTTACAGGGATCGATTAAGTTTATTCATTTTAAAAGCACAACTGAAGACTTCTGGCTCCCAGGCCCGTATCTTGATTCCAAGCACTAGGAATTCAACAGCCAGCATTTTTCAGCAGTTAGAAAATCAGCATAATCAAAAGCAATAAAGACGAACGTAAGCGGTTCCAGCGCTGTTGCAGAGGCAGCCATGGGGTGAGGTGTGAACGACCAGCCTGATGTTTATTGCTCTGCTGAAATACTTGCAAGTTCACATTATTTCATGCCACCTTCGCTAGAAAACATGTCCCTGGGCAAAGTTTATCCTGCAATTATTATTGCTCACATGAACACACTAACCCAGGGCAAAACTTTAAAGTAACAGCAACCTAACTATGTAAAGCAAATATTGGAAGATTTTCTGTTAATCATCCAACCAATTGAGAAGTCAAACCTGATGGATTTGGAGGAGCCAAGGGTTTTTACAATTCAGAGGTGCTGCCTCACTCTGCTTTTTCACTGGAAGATCTTACGATACCTAAGGTTGCGAGAAGTGTATTTTTTAATTCTGTCAACATGCTACAGAAAAGATGATGGTACTTTCCTTCCCCCCTCCGACACGGAACTCTGAACTTTGGCTTGTTAATGATCATCCCTTTGAGATAATCTATTGATTTAAGCCTTAACAATCCCCCATATCCCTCTGTGCCTTTCTTTGCTCTATAGGAATAAGGAATTGGCTGGATAGTCGCACTCAGAGTTGTGGTCAACGGTTCAATGTCCAAGTGGAAACCAGTGACAAGTGGTGTTCCTCAGGGGTCAGTGCTATTTAACATCTTTGTTGGCAACATGGACAGTGGGATCGAGCGCACCCTCAGCAAGTTTGCAGATGACACCAAGCTGTGTGGTGTTGTGGACACGCTGGAAGGAAGGGATGCCATCCAGAAGGACCTTGACAGGCTGGAGAGGTGGGCCTGTGACAACCTAATGAAGTTCAGCAAGGTCAAGTGCAAGGTCCTGCACGTGGGTCGGGGCAATCCCAAGCACAAGTACAGGCTGGGTGGAGAATGGATTGAGAGCAGCACGGAGGAAAAGGACTTGGGAGTGCTGGTGGATGAGAAGCTCAACATGAGCCAGCAATGTGCACTGGCAGCCCAGAAAACCAACTGTGTCCTGGGCTGCGTCAAAAGGAGCGTGGCCAGCAGGTCAAGGGAAGTGATTCTGCCCCTCTACTTTGCTCTTGTGAGACCCCACCAGGAACACTGCGTTCAGCTCTGGAGTCCCCAATACAAGAAGGACATGGAGCTGCTGGAGCGAGTCCAGAGGAGGGCCACGAAGATGATCCAAGGGCTGGAACACTTCTGCTATGAAGATAGGCTGAGAGATTTGGGGCTGTTCAGCCTGCAGAAGAGAAGGCTCCGGGGTGATCTTATAGCAGCCTTCCAGCACTTAAAGGGGGCCTACAAGAAAGCTGGAGAGGGACTTTTTACAAGGACATGTAGTGATAGGACAAGGGGCAATGGCTTTAAACTGAAAGAGGGGAGATTTAGATTAGATCTAAGGAAGAAATTTTTCACTCTGAGGTTGGTGAAGCACTGGAACAGGTTGCCCAGAGAAGTTGTGGATGCCTCATCCCTGGCAGTGTTCAAGGCAAGGTTGGATGAGGCTTTGGGCAACCTGGTGTAGTGGAGGGTGTCCCTGCTCATGGCAGGGGGGTTGGAACTAGATGATCTTTGAGGTCCCTTCCAACCCAAACCGTTCTATGATTCTATGATTCATTCCTCCTTAAGATCACAGGAAGGTTGCCACAGCTGGTGTATAACAACAGAAACACCTCAAAATTTGCTTTCCTGTCTCTCTTAAGCTATATATAAGTAACTCAGGCAACTCCTATAACCTTCTGTAGAACCTCTTACTAACCTGCCAGGGAAGGTTATTGCATTAAAAACGAGCAAACCCATATTTGAGACATCAAGTTCATTAAAGTTCACTGGTTGAAAACCAATGCTAAATGCTCAGAGACGTTTAGACAAACAAGAAGCCATTAACTACAGTTAGTTCATTTATTGAAAACCACTGTATCACAATTCATGATGCAGACTGTCACCAACAGAGCTAAGAAGCCATCAGAAACACAACACTGAGCAGTCAGTGGCTGGAAGAAGTTCTCTTCGAATCCGCCGCCAGTTCTCCCCACTTCCCAGTGCAATTAGGATGGCCATAAGGCTGCATGGAAGGACTAATACAAAGGCTTGACAGGTAATCTAACAGTGGTTTTCCGTAGAATGCTGAGCTCAAGTGTAAAATATGCTCGGCTACTCTGAGGGTAAACAAGCAGCCTATTTCAGTGCTATCAAAAATTGCCAGAGGTTGCTTAAATATAAACAAGCATTAAGAAATTTATTTGATAAACCTATTTGTTTTCGTTTTGTATTTTGTTACAACTGTTTCCGTCCTACATAAAGGACTGCAAGACATGCAATCTTGGCTGCAATCAAAATGCTTATTTAGTGAAAGTGATAAGGTATTCTGGGTAAGCTTGAATGTCACTAAAGATGATAAACATGGACGGCTGGTTCACATTATCAGTTGAACTATCAAACAGATCTAAGGAGTTACTAGCGTTTTTTGCTGCTGGAGTAATTGATCCTTTTGTCCCCTGAGAATATTCTCCAACAAGGACTCGAGCCAAGTACATGAACTTCTTCCCATCTACATCTGGTTTAGAGTAGGTGTCCTGCGCAGAATAGCTGGCATTAACAGCAAAGTACGTTCCATTTCCAAAGTTTGCAGCTGTAGGCAGAAAAACAAACGTTTGTGAGCATTTCAGTAGCAGCCATCACTTATCTGCCATCTTGAGAGCCTGTGAATCAATCTTGACAATTTTGCTTTTTATTTGCAATAGGGAGACTTAACAAAACAAGTACTTTTGCATACGAGGCAGGACTATACAGACAGGGCAAACAGTCCTAGCCCTACTCAGGAAAATATGAGTTGTTTTGAAATTCACATTACCGTGCATTCCAGCATAGCTCCGGTTAAACCCACGGTCGTTAATGAAGGTTAACGACTCCTTACTTGTCCCATGAAACAGAAGCCTCTCATTATTTCTGTTACCATTTTTCTTATCCATTTCGCTCTTTTTTATTTGGTAGACCTTCCAAAGATATGGGTTCTGTATCCTTTCAATCTGCAAAATTTGAAAGTAAGACAGAAAGAAAGTAGGTTGCTGTCATGAAAAACATTAGTGTATCAACAATTCAAACTGCTTCCAAGATTCTTCTCCTAGTTCCAATGCATGCCATCAGATTATGAAATAAATTAGTCCAGTCACTCCAAACTTGGGTAGGACAGACAACAGAACCCAGCCCAAAACATGACAGAAACACTCAATGGGAAACAATACAGGACACTTTCACAGGTTTCCAGGGCACAGATGACATGTCTACCTGCAAAGTACATGAGGCTTAAGTGAGCAAATGTTGTGCTCTACTATACCAAAAACGATTTGAAGAAAGAGCACTCTGCCTTGGTGCTGAAGAAGCAACTGCTTAAGAGTTGTTCCAAATACCTCAACTGCAACAAAATGATGCCGATTAAAGTTAGTGACAGCCAAAAAGACTAGTCCAACTTGAGAAATCCCAGTGCAATTTATTTTTCCATTGTTATTACTCTTCATCACTCATATCAAAGTATTTATGCTCAGAGATGATGACATGCTTTTACCTTTTTAATTTTAAATAACTGGCAGGTCTTCAGAAACCTTTCCTGAACATCTTTATATTCTCTTGTTTCTGGTTTTAGTTCCACTATTTTGAGTTGCTGGTTTTGCATATCGTCCCATGTTGCAGGGAGCACTGTTGATGCTTGATCTGCAAAAGAAACATACTCAATCATATTTACCATAATCCTCTGCTTAAAATTAAACATGCCCTGCTACAAACCCTTCTAAAAGCCTATATACCTAGCTTATCGCTAGCGCCTACTGGTCTGTCAGCCAAGAGTAGCCCCTGGGTCTTTTACCAGAGGATGAGGGTGTTTTAAGTTTCTAGTTCGCCATTGCACTGGCAATTGATGTGCCTGAATTGGTAGTTCCTAGACAAATCTGTTCTTCACAGCTGAGGAGGGGTCCTTTGCAACATCTTTTACCAGCAGCCTTTCCTGTAAATCAAGTTTTCAAGGCCATGGAGCAAATGCAGAAATACTGAGTAGTTAATTGCCATCAACTAGGAGACTAGGAGCAAAGCATTTGAACAAGGAAGGTTTTAACTTAAAAAGATCAAGAATATAACTCTCCATTTGAAAAGCAGAAGTCTTCCCTTTCATCCCTTCTCTCATTTCATGCAAGGTCTAGTATCTAGCTGTATTGTCAAGCAGTAACACTGACTGATGCATATGCTACAAACATCCGGCATTATAGGTTTCCTCAGTTAGAAGTATGAAACTCTTTTGATAAGTGACATTTTTTGGTAAGAGAACAAAAAATAAAAACCTGAAAATACATGCAGGAGGCATTACTAAGGCACTGGGTGCTGCACAGTTACTTAAACCTGCCCACTTTCAAGCGTTAAGCGGACTAAAAAGTTGTTCCCATCAAGATACAAAACGTGCCCCTGTAAAACCGAGTCGCAGCATGACAAAGAAAAATAATACACTGGGAAAAGCCCTGTATGGATGAGTAAGAAAAAGGTAGCTCCTTATATTGTAAAGGACTAGAAGTAAAGGGAAAGGGTACATCAAGAACAGAAACCAGCCCATATCTACAATGACAACTTCTACAAACATCTAATTATTGCTAGCAAGCCTGTTAAGAACCTCAAAATGCATTACCTACATTTCCAAAAATTTTAAATAACTGCAGGATTTTTTTTACTTTCGTTTCCCAATTCAGTTCCTTTCTACATTCTCCAGAAATGGACCTGCACAAAACTCCTAACAATATTTGCATACTCTTACCGTTTCTTACTCTTTCTAGGCTGGATGCAACCTAGTTTTAATGTGGGAACGTCAGTTGGTCAAGAAGCTTTTACTTACCTTCAGATTTATCAACACGTGTAATGGGTATACGTTTTCCTTGGTCATCCACAGCATATCTAGCTTCTATATTCACTGTGTATTTTTTCTCATCAATGATGACTGAAATGTCTCTCTGCCTTCCCTTGAAAGCATTTTCCAAGTGCATATTTGTGAGACTGTCAAAGGGCACATAGGAATCCTTTTCAAAATACTTCCACTCAATTAAGTTTTGTAAAAGTTCCGCGCTCATCTCCTTCTGTTTAGCAGCTTCCACCCTGTGGATCATTTCTTTAACAGCTGAATAAGCAATCCAGACATTTTTCTCAACACCTGAAATTCGAATAGAGTTACCATACATACGAAGAGCAAGATTTAATTTATCTTGTAGGTCACATAGTTCCTTGCTCTCCACTTCACCGAAATGTAAGATAGACTCATCTGTGATTTCTGTTTGAACCTGTTCCTTTAAAATTGCACTTTTCAACCAGTTTTCAGCAGCTTCCACTTTCTTTCTGTTTTCACCACAAATTTGCACCACAGCCATGTCGATTTTCTTTCCCAAAACTGTTTTGGTTTTTTGCTTTGGGGACTGTTTCTCAGAGCTCCAGATTGCTACATTGAAATACACAAATGTAGTAATTAATATTAACCCTGATCAGCTGGTGCTAACAGACTGATCTAACACCTGTATTTAAGTGACATCTACTTACAGATTTTGTTGAAAAAGAATTTTAATGCTGTTTTCAGACGACTTTCTCTTTTCTGCATGCTTGTATGGAACACACTCAGCAGATGAGGCTGAAAGATGACAATTTTAATAGTTTTCACAGACGGAGCAGAGTTACTTCTTGCAAAGTCCGTTATTGCCTCTATCATGCTGTCAGCTACTACAGCTGGATCACGGCCTGCCTCTCCTGAAACAAGTTACAAATATTTTGCCTTAAAAATCATTAACATATGTTACAAATGGTTAAAACACCTTTAAAAGAACAGTTATGAACATACTTACAATCACTTGGATCACAAAAAAGTCAGAAATAACTTCAGGCTAGCAATTTAGCAAAGATTTTTATTTATCAGGAAAAGGAGGTTTGAGATCATCTTTCCAGCAAGGGAAAAATGGAAGTTTACTTTTGCTGACATGGCGACTGATCAGATTATGATGTAGATGACACGGCTTGGTGCTTGGTTACCTAACAGACCACAGGCCTGACACTCAGTGGCCCAGTAGCCAACTCTTTGCTCAAAAAATAAGCCTAATTTTACTCATGCAAGAGGTCCCTGCATGCATGGGGTCCAGTTCTAGATTCTCTCTCTACGGATTTCTACTGATCTGACTGAAAATAACAAAGAAAAAGAGATAAAGGGACAATCTGGCCTTTTTGACAGGTTCACATTCCATCCGTATCAACCCTACTTGTGCGGCTGTCAGCCAGAGTTGCATTATCTACTGATTTCAGCAATGGAGAAGTAGCTTCCTGGATATTCTCTGATGAGCTGCCCACACATATCAGGCTGCCGTGACAAGCATTTATGGTTCTCCAGAAGTATAGACATACTTCTGAATCTCTGGTAGCAAGGAAGTGTTGGCTTTAGAGCACTCATACTCTGTACATACTAGCTGACTGCAAGGAGTGAAGCTTTCTAGGTTTTCATAACAGTTTGAAAGTTCACAGTTTCTGAATATATTTTCACCAAAGAATAACCCCTCCAGATAAATCAAACCCATCGCTTGAACCCTGAGATCAGCAGAATCACAGACACTGAACCCATTTCAAAAGGGACAGACCCGTTCCAATTGCTGGGAAGGTGACAGAGGTGTGCTGCTGTAATTCACACTCCTGAAGCACTTTGGAGACTAGCCCCTTGATATCATCTTGGGCAACAAAATGAATTATTTTTTTGCACGGCAGGTTTCCTGCTTGGGTGGTGATATAGCCATCGTTAGGTTGTGAGGCTGAAACATAAGTGGGAGAACGTAATCAATCAACAGTTATCCACAATATAGATGTGTACTAATCCTCATTATGAGATAAGAAATTATGACGAATATGCCCCAGGACAAGCTTCAAGTCTCCTTCCACAAACTGTGCAATACCCTCTCTCTATTTTCATTTTCAAAGCACAAGGATTCATTTTATGTTTGTAAAATATTTGCTTCACTCGGCAATTAAATTTTGTGTGCCTTTATTTGTCAAGTTTGCTCTAAAGACTTGAACTTCATGCAGACTAGCACTATGTCTTCGCACGCACACACGTCATCTACCCTCAAGCTGCCTAGCCCGAATCACCCTCATGGCCTGCGCAACAGAGGTCTACCTCTTACCTCCTCCACATAATTTCTTCCTTTGGTTGTTCTTCCAAGCTGACCTCCACATAAGCCTCTTTTCCACCTTCCTTATTTTGTGGGGTTTTAAACCACGTACTTGTCCATCCTTACTCCCCATTCATCACACCTGCTGTTCACCAGCTGAATTTGGTCTACAAATAAATGCTTCTTCTGAGGCAGGAAGCCAACTTCACTAGTTTTCCCTCTTGGTCACATGGAGAATATGTTAGTGGGTTGCAAGTTAAGCCAACAGTAAACATTTTCCTCACTCAGGAAAGACAAAAGGAGTTTCAGGGAGACAGTTGCTTCCAGTGAGGTATGGCTTCTCTTATTGACATTCCTGCCAACATCATCCCTTGCTCATGGCTTTGTTCGATGTAGACTTGATTTGTTTTTATCATGGAAAGCTTTATTGGAACAAGGGGATGCAATAATGAATAGTTTTAGTTCTGTACATGTGCTTAGAAGCCCTCTCTTCTTCAGGATTTTTCTTTTCCTTCCCTCATTAGATGTTTTACATATATCATTAACTGATTAAAACTAGCTGATGTAACACAGTGCATAATACAGATGGATGTACAGTAGGCATTAAGGAAGTATTCCAACAGACTCCCTGCCATGCAAGCACACCTTCAGAAAGGTCAGAAATGTTGTACCATACCTAGTTGAGCACACTCATCTTCAACTGCTTTTCCAGCACCATTCAGAATTGCTCTAGAGACACCTTAAATGAGAAGAGGCATATGAATCCATGGTTACTACTGTTAATGCTGTTAAACATCCCATCTGAGGTAGAACTGTGCACCACATAATATTTAAATATCTCAATCCTGATAACAGTAAAGGTTGTAATTGAAAAGCACTGTTGCTTCAATTGTAGGCTTATACTTTTCAATTCAAAGTGATGTCTGAAGTACCTAACCAGTTTCACAGAGGTCAAAACCTCACTGAGGCTTATCTTCTCCTTTAGTCCGAGAGATGTTCTATAAAAAGATTCTACAAAAAAAAAGTTATTAGTTTCCCTTTCTGCAAAAGCCTTAAATGTGCCATCCTGCAATGCAGATAAACAAGAAAAACAAAGTTTCAGACACTTCCTAATTGAATCTTTGTACCCTGAGAAGCAAAACAGAAACTGCACTGAAACAAAAGGGTTTGAAACACTGAAAAAATACTTCCTACTCTCCTTATTCAGCCCTTCCAAACACTCGCAGTGTTTTCACACATAATACCAACCAAAATACCTGTTTTGAGGCTGAAGGTTTGGTTTGTTATGTTTACAATGACATCTCCCTCTTCCTTGGTAATATCACCTTTCGCCACGCGGAACACGATGGAGCCAATTGTCATTTCATGTACATCCTGTGCTGAGGCTGAAGAGATACCAGAGGAAGCTGCAGGAAAGAAATACCGACCCTGAGCAGAAGGGAGCAATAAGGTAAGAGGTAAGGGACTTATTCACAGGTACAACACCTATAGAGCCCACAGTTTGGCTCCACACTCCACCTGTGAAGAGGACTGCCTGCCATGTTAACTGAAAATCATTCCTTTCTCACAGGAGTCTCTGATCAACCTTCACCTATTCCCATCATTGCTATTCATGCTGAGATGGCAGAAAAAAATTGTTGTGCTGCACACCTGGTACACCGACACTACTTTGTGACATGTGAATGGCTACAAACATGTGAATGGCTACAAACTCTTCAGGAGGGATAG